GGTTGAAGAGAGAGAGGGAGACGCAGAATCCGAAGCAGTCACCAGGCTCTGAGCTTCAGAGCCTGACGTAGGGCTCAAACCCACCAGCCGTGAGATCGTGACCTGAGCCAAAGTCGGACATTTAACGGACTGAGCCACCCAGGCGCCCCAAACTGAAACACTTTTAAAAATTGATCATATACCAGGGGTACCTGGGTGGCTGGTTGGTTAAGCTTCCAACTCTTGACTTCCGCTCAGGTCATGATCTCAGGGTTTGTGACATGGAGCCAAGGCTGGGCTCCCTGCTGACAGCACGGAGTCTGCTTGGGATTCTCAGTCCCCTGTCTCCCTCTTTCTCTGCCCTTCCCCCCACTCGCGTGCACGCACATGCGCGCTTTCTCTCTCTCTCTCTCTCTTTCTCTCTCTCTCTCTTTCCCCGTCAAAAAACAAACCTTTTTTAAAGTTAATTTAAATTAAATTAACTTTAAAGATTGATCATATACTATACCACAAAGAAAACCCCAAATTCTTAAAAGCGGAAATCATAACAGGGCACATCCTATTAGCACAGTGCAATAAATATGAAATTAACAACAAAAAGCTTCTCCCAACTGCCACTCCCCCCAAATAAACTAACCCCTGGACATTTTAAACTGTTTTTTAAATAGCCCTTAGATTAAATCAACAAAGAGAACACTACATCATATCATACGGGCCTTGACCAAAACCGTATTTAAAGAAAAATTCATAGCTTTACATATTTGTATTAACAAACAGGAGATGCTGAAAATAAGCACCCAACTCAAGAAACCAGAAAAAGAACAGAATAAACCAGAAATATTTGATGTTCAAATTTAGGCCAAATAAATTTCAAAATCTAAGAAAATGACTCATTTTTAAGGAAAATATAAATCACCAAAATTCAAGCACATAGAGGTTAGAAAACTTGTATAAATAGGTAACTAGAGAAGAAATTGAAAAGTTTTTTAAAGATACACTATCTTTACTCTTACCTACCCCCTCATATTCCTCTATGAGTTTATGTGAGTTCCTTTTTAAGAAAAACAGAGGTTAAATCCCATTAATGAAGTTTGTTGTCTTTTGATTGTATATTAAGTTGGAGGGGATGAAGTTTGGATTTGAATTATTATTAAACATCTAGCATGAGTAAACCTATGTTAAATGCTTATGTGGGGAGAGAGAAATAAGAGACAAACCTATCTTCAAAAAGTTCACATTCTAGCAGTGAGAAACATTTGCGTGATACAGTAGAATTGAAAGATAGGAAGAAAAGAGCATTATGTGTGGGAGAAGCTCACTTAAAAGTTCCGAATCCAGGGGCGCCTGGGTGGCGCAGTCGGTTAAGCGTCCGACTTCAGCCAGGTCACGATCTCGCGGTCCGTGAGTTCGAGCCCCGCGTCGGGCTCTGGGCTGATGGCTCGGAGCCTGGAGCCTGTTTCCGATTCTGTGTCTCCCTCTCTCTCTGCCCCTCCCCCGTTCATGCTCTGTCTCTCTCTGTCCCAAAAATAAATAAAAAACGTTGGGAAAAAAAAAAAAAGTTCTGAATCCATGGGGCGCCTGGGTGGCTCAGTCGGTTGAGCTTCTGATTCTTGGGTTCCACTTAGGTTGTGACTTCATGGTTCATGAGCTGGAGTCCACGTTGGGCTGTGTGCTGTCAGTGTGGAACCTGCTTGGGATTCTCTCTCTCTCTCAAAATAAATAAATAAGCTTTAAAAATATATATTAAAAAACAAAAGTTCCAAATCCAGGGCCAACTAGCTCGCTCAGTTGATAGAACCTACAACTCTTGATCTCAGGGCCATGAGTTCGAGCCCCATGCTGGAGGTAGAGGTTACTTAAAAAAAAAAAAAAAAAAACTATTAAAAGTTACAAATCCAAAGAAACACTGTTTTGATGAGAGGGTGACTCCTTTTTAATATTCTTTCAAGATGGAATCATCAACAATAAAGAGATGTATAGATTTAGAGGCAGAAGAGCTGGCTGGATGGAGAGGCCTTTTCTGACATCCCCCCTAAAGGATGAGGTCAGGAAGTGGGCTCAATGCGGGAGAGTGGTTATCGTGATCCTTGGCACTTCATTTCCTTTGTAAACATACTAGAGCTAGGATCACATAGCTAAACTGGAAAGTTGGATTCTTTGGCTGGTTTTCTTTTCACAGCTAGGCTATAAACTTCTTTAGGACAGAGAGTGTATCTTAACGCATGATGGTACAGCCAGTGCTTGGAACCAAAAAAACTATTGAATAATGGATTTGTTGTGCTGTAAAGAGAATGAGGTCTTACCTTCTTCCCCAAGTCTGGAAAGTAGGCCAAATATATAATAGGGTTTCTTTTCATCTTCTCAGCTCAAGAGTCAGGATATCTCAGATTTAACAGCAGTTGAAAGGGAAGACTCATCTTTACTTACTCCTGCAGCCAAAAAAATGAAAATAGATACCAAAGAAAAGAAAGAGAAGAAGCAAAAAGTGGATGAAGATGAGATTCAAAAGATGCAGTAAGTTACTTTCTGATTTTTTTCCCCATTTCAAGTCTCTAACTTGACCGTACAAAGTCAATAAATTTGGGGAGCCTGTAATTTTTTCCCCTTTTTTATACTCAAAAGAAAGTAAAGCAAATAATACTTTATGTAACATTTTAGGAAATATAAATAAATAAAAAAAAAAATATCCTCTTGTCACCAGAAATAAACACTGTTAGTATTTTGAGGTATAGTCTCCAAGATATTTTCTGTACATGTATATCCAGAAATAAATTTTTTCAAAGATGTTACTGCTTGTGACCTGTTTTTCACATTGTATATGGTGAATGTTTTCCATGTCAGTAATTATACATAGGTCATAACTTTTAATGGGCTCATTGTAAATTTATCAGAGAATACAGAAAAATAGAAAAAATAATTACCCATAATCCCACCACCCACAATTAACCCTGGGTATGGATTAGGTTATATACTTTTTCAGATTTTGTTTTAAATGTTTTAAATATTTATAGCTAAATACTTTCTTGTAAATCTGCCTGTAAATTATCAATTTCAGTGGGTGCATTGTATTCCATTATGTAGATGATCATTTAACCAATCCCTGTAGTTCTTTTTCTTCTTTTGACATTATTATGATTGAGCATCTTTGAGCCCATCTTTGCATACTAGTCCATTTAGTTCCTAAATAAACCCCCAAGGAGTGAATTGCCAGTTCAAACAGTCTGAATGTTTTCAAAGACTCTTCATACACATTTCCAAATTTTTCTCCAGAAGGGTGGTTGCACTTCACACTCTACCAGCATGTATAAGTTTGTGTCCTCCCATTCTTACTAATACCATTCTTTATAATGCTCATCTGTCTGATTCATGAAAAATGTTATCTTATTTTAGTTTATCATTTTAATTAGTTAATAGTGAAGGTTAACTTTTTTCCTTTGTGTTGGTCATCGGTATTTTTGTAACTTGCCTATTCATGTCCTTTGCTTATTTTCAAAATCGCGATCTTTTATTTATTGGAAAGCATTAAGAGCATAAACCCTTCTCCATATATTTTACAAATATTTTCCCCCAAGTCTGTTAATGTCAAAAACTACTGGTTTGAATATAAATTTATGTATCAAATTTTTACCATCAATGTGAAATGTAATAAGGTAGAGTTAGGGGTAGAGAGAGCCTAGTGCTGAAAACATAATCTATATAGTGACCCAACATTGTAGTTTAAGTTTTTGTTGTTAATGAAGTAGAAATGAAGTTGTATGTCATTTTCTCTTAAGTTTCTAAAGAGTAAAAATGCTTTGTCTTCATTCCTTGTAAGCACCAAGCTTAATGCTATTGACCCCTCGAAAATTCATTTTCTAATTGTCTGAGACTTTTATTGATGTGATAATATACCTTAAACATTTGTTGTTGTAAGCCAACTTAATTATCTGAATCTTTGTCTAGAATCCTGGTTTCTTCTTTTTCTGAGGAGCAACTGAACCGTTATGAGATGTACCGCCGGTCAGCATTCCCTAAGGCAGCCATTAAAAGGGTAAGGATGGGCTACCACACTTCATTTCCATCAGATATGAGAGTTGAACTAGACACAAGAACTGTGTCCACCTCATTTTGAATGAGGTGCTAGTCAAGTTGGTGGATCATTCACACAGGAAAACAAAAATAAAATGCCTCTCGATTATCAATTGGAGTTTTGTATTCTGGGGATAAGGTCTAAACGTAGAGAATGAGTTGCTGTACACCTGAATCTTTGTCTTAATAGTCTTAATTTCAGTATCCAGCCTTTAGTAAAAACCTTTTTAGTACAAAACTCTTAAAGGGTACCATATTCTTTAAAGCAGTCCTTGACTTTCTTAATCATAGTCTTTGTTCTTCTTTCAAGCTGATCCAGTCCATCACTGGCACCTCTGTGTCTCAGAATGTTGTTATTGCTATGTCTGGCATTTCCAAGGTTTTCGTCGGGGAGGTGGTAGAAGAAGGTAAGTGTTGTTGATAGCATGTACAGGATTGAACCTCTGGTGGTCTTAACTTTCAAGAATATCTATGCTAGGGGACCTAATAAAGTACCTGTGGGTGTTTCCATTTGCACTAGAAGTTGACCAAGTGGGGCACTTTGTATTCAGGAGAGCATGACCATTATTCCTCAAAAGTTTTAATACTGGGACTCAAGGAAGCATCTGGGAAATCTTTCCAGATTCCTGTCCTCAGTCCAGGGCGACAGAAGCCTACTTCGTATTTTTCCCCAATGGAGTTTGCTCATTTCTGTTGCCAAATTAAAGACCTAAGATAAGCTATCACTGGGGGCTGACCAGTGTGGTATGATGAGTTGTCCCTCATGTTATGAATCCTGGGAAATGTCCTCTATCCATCAAAGAAAGAACCTTGGCTAAGTGTATTGCTGGTCTCCAGTCAGTGAAATGTTTTATTTTTTTAAGTAGAAGATTATATATTACACTAAAGCTAACGTGATAGGTTTTATAGCATTCTCTTAAGAAGGGAAAATGTCTTGGTTTATTTCCTTAGCAAGCTTAAGAAGGGTTAATGAGAATTATAGGATTCAAATGGATTATGTGATTAATAAGTCCTGTGTGACCATGAAACTTTCTTCTTATCTTCTGTTTAGCACTGGATGTGTGTGAGAAGTGGGGAGAGATGCCACCACTACAACCCAAACATATGAGGGAGGCTGTTCGGAGGTTAAAGTCGAAGGGGCAGATCCCCAACTCAAAGCACAAAAAAATCATCTTCTTCTAGACTGAAGCCTAGAAAGGCCTGGTACTGAAGGAAGGAGTACCGGTTCCAGACTTCCTACTGCATGAGACTTTTGCACAGGTGCTTTAGTCCTCTAAGGATTCCATGATGATTTTGATGTCTTTCTCAGAACTCTGATATTCATCACATCTAAAAGGCATGCAGCCTGTTTCATACTTGCCTTGACTAAATATTGGCACCTCTTTGGACATTCTGAGGCATTTAACTATTTCTTGGCTAGTTGGAAGAAGAAAGGTACATGGGCCTTAAGCGTCTTCCAGACAGAGAAGCTGCTTTCAGAAAGTCTTTCCAAGAAAGCTTTGATGGTTTCACATTGAAGCATGAAGTCGCTGTGATTTAGGTTGTTTCTTCCATCTGGTTTTAAGTAGATGAAACAACCAGAAACTTTGACTTATGATACTCTACCATGAAGAACACAGTGATGGGAGGAGTAGTGGAAAAGTTTATCCCTGTACACATGTAAAGTTCCCTATGGATCTTGGTGAGTGATCATTAAACTGTTTTCCAACTTGCCTTATGTGTATTCATTTTCTGTCTAGCTGGTTGGAATGGGGAGAAGTTCATCATTATTTTTTGGTGTCAGATTAAAACTGGTCTTTGGCTTTTTTTGAAAATTTGAGCCCTTCCCATTTTCTACTAGAACCATTTAAAATTTTCTCAAGAGTACTTAAAACACTTAAAAATAATGTAAAAGCCCATATATTTCAGGTTCCTATAAACAGATAAACCACAACCAATGTTTAGTAAGTTTAATTTGCTTTTTTCAGGTGGTTCACAGAACCAGTACACTCAAGGTTTGATTAGATAATGCAACATTAAAATTTCCCAATACTGACCAGTATTCCAGTTCATCAGATACATTCTCATTGTTTTCCTCAAAGAGAGGGGAATGGAGTGACCTTTTATTGACAGTGATTAGCAGTAATAAGGCTACTGTATATAATTGGCAATCCCCAAGAATCCTTTCCTCTATCATTCAGTTTCATAGGGAGAAGAATTTTGAAGCTGTTCTCTTTTGAAGCTTTCCTGAGCATGTCTTAAAAGATTCCAATTCTGTTCAGCACCCTGATGGGGGGGGGAGTGGGGAGAAAGTTTGGACTCACAAAGTTGAGCAAATCTTTTATATCTTACACTAAAACCCATGGCTTTAAACATATATTTAGCCAGTGAAGACACATCACATTTGGGGCATTCCACAAAGAAATGCTGTAACACTCAGGCTAAATCTTGACCAAAAACTAATAAACTGGGGGAAGGAAGAAAAAGCAAATAGTCTCTCAGCTCCAACAGGAATTTTTTTTTAACGGTTATAGGAACTATAGCTATTTCAATGTGAGATACTAGATAAGGCTGAAACTTATAAACAACAAGGGAGAAAGATCACATCCCAAGCCTGGCCATTTAACAAAGCCTCACTGTTTAAGGTTCTCCCAGAGTGCATCTTCCTTGTGTCTGTTGTAAGAGATGGGGAAAATAATCCCCCCTCAACAATAGCTACTAACTACTATCCATACCTACCTAGAGGTGAATGGGAATATTCCTATTCTAGTAGAAAGTGGGGAAAGATCTAGGTGAGGGCCGTAGTCTCTGGAAGGATAGTACATCACACCAGCTTCTCTTGAAAGAGTAAGGACTATGGTAAGTCACAAGGCAATGACAGCTTCTGTAGTTCTCAACCAAATGTCATTCTACTAGCATTGCGGCAATGTTCAGTTGTTTCCATTGTTTTGTGATGTTACTGTAACTGATTTTAGAAGTTTAGGCAAATATTAAATGAGAAAAAAACAAACCTTCGGTGTTAAGGTTTGGAATGGCAAGTTCCCATATCACTATGGGAATACTTCAAACTACTTGCTTTCCACCAGCCCTTGAACTAGTCTAAGGGGAAACTAATGTAAATGGGTTAAATGGGAGCATTTAAATTATGGGGCATGTGAGGGATAATGTTTATCCCTCGTATATTCCATACACAGAAACCATTCCTTTCAGAAGCATGAAAAGGGTATATAAAATTTGAGGCCCATGGCAAAATGGGTGGGGTGGAAGGTGGGGGTGGGGATGGGAGTCAGATTAAATAATACAGCAAAAGCAGCCATCACAAAAATAGAACCTATTCCTTCTGTCTTAAAGAGATGAGGTTAATTATTTCAGTGAGATGAAAACAAATCTGAGGTTGATAATCATCCCTGTAGCTCAGCTAAGAGATAATTAAACTAGTCCCTACACACTAAAGCTGGTCTCCAGCACGTCCATGTAAACGGGAAATCTAGACAATCATAGATGATACATAGTTGTAAATGTTTCACAGCTGAAATGATGATGTGCAGCAGCTGAAGTCTTTGAGGGATAGTGGTGCTATCACTCCAGACATTTTCTTGAGGTATTATTTCTTGTTCACAGAGTCTTAGAGCTCCAAGGCAGAAATCATAAGCAGTCCAAAGCACTACTATTTTCCTTCCATTTTTTTTTCTTTACATTTACCCTGAGGACTACCAAGAAAGTCTTCTTGCTCCCAGTGAATAGGAGTATGAAGTTATACAAGATGATTGTTACTAAAATTTCACGGGACCATGACTCCCACCACATTTCCTGGAAGAGGATTTCAAGACACAATAGCCAAAACTGCCATGTAAGTCAGAAATGCTAGGGCTCCATTTGTCACATAGACAAGAACTCCGGAGAGCCCAGAAACCTGACTGAACTCTGGTCACTAAAGGGGTTAGCCTTGATGCCTGCCAGAATTGTTTGTATTGCCTACCAGCAAGCACAGGCTTAAGGTGAAGGTATTCCAAGCAATACCTATTAGGCATTTTCTTTGCATGGAGGGATGCCAGAGGGATATGGTGGGTGGGGGAGGTGAAGAGGGGAAGAGAATCAGAATGTGGTTTTAAACCAATTCAGGTGAACCTAAGGTTGAATGATTCTATTTTCCAGCTACTGTATCTCCCTCCTCTAAGAACATTAGAAAGGCCATACTTGAGAGGACCAGTGATCCATTTTGCTCAACATTATGCCTTCCAAAGGAACACTAAGGGGGAGTTTATGGAGGGACACAGTTACCCTCTCAGTTGTATTTCACCAAATGGCCTTAGTTTTCTAGAATTCCTTTGGAAGGCCACCATACAAGGATTCCTCTTAAACCTTCAGCACCTGTACATAGGTTCTGCCAACACCACTTCTTGGACAATGAGCTCCTTAAGTTTCTGATTGGCTATGGGAAGTGCTTTCTTGTACCTAAGGCTATGAAGTTGAGCCCTAGAACTTGTATTTCAGGACTTGGTGAACACGTCCTTCCTCCTGACTGGTTATCTGATGTACACCACCCTTAGATTTCATCTTTCCAGAATTGGAGCCAGCATCTTAAATATGTGTACTCATGTGGAAGTATCTCCACTCTCTGATAATTTTTGCTATTCTCTTGACCTTTCTTCCCTTCACCATGTATTTTGCAAATAAGGTCACTAGAAATGCACAGACAATTTAAGCCATTAAAATGGTTTTTTAAGGGGTCCTGTTTTCTGTATTGTCTTCATGTGCCTTTCCTGATGATGCAGTTGGGTTTTGAGCCACAGCAGCACACTGACCCCTCCTTCCCTTCAGCAATGGTTAAGTTTCTGTGCTGAGTTCTAACAGAGCTTGCTGCCTCACTGGTTGCTGGTAAGTACTTTACTTTACACTTACCTAGACTGAACCTCACCTGTGATTTTCCTGTGTAGTCACAGCCTGGCTTATGTGCCTTCTCTGGTTTTGTTATTGTTTTAAGTCCCTTCTGGTTTACCTTTTATTCCTTGGAAGTAGGGACACTTGACTGCATTATAATATCCTGCTCTCAGATTATTTATAAAAGTCTTAAGTAAGGTTAAACCAAGCGTTGACCCGTAGGAAACTTCCCATTAGCATTATCTCCAGAAAGATGTTTATTCTTCAGTGTCTAAGTTTTTTCCTAAGCATGACAAAATATTCTCGTATCTCATAGTAACTGGTGCTTTTAAAATTGCTTTAGTGACGGACCTTGACAAAAGTTCTTTGGAAGTCTGAAGAAATTATATTTTGCTCCTTCTTGAATGCATGTTTCTTTTTATCCTCAAAAAACTAGAATATGCAAGTCAGACATGATTTCCCATAAAGGAAAATAGTTTATCTTTCCTCCAATAGGTCATGTGTGATTAAGATTTTAGTGACATCACTAAATAACTATTTTACCATCTTGCCAGTTTAGTTAGCTAATGAACTTCCGTCCAATCAACACAGCATGAAGTGTGTCACAGAGCAGTATGGATGAAGGTAGAATGCTGGGGAAGAATTAGGTAGGAAAGAAAGAGGGGGGAAATAGTTGTTTTATGGGGCAAGGGGAAACCTACCTAAGTTGAAGCATTATTGTTTTGTTTTTTTACTTAAGTCAAAATTACACGGTTTTAAAAAGCCACAGTGATAGAAGGATATGAGAGGCAACAGGTTGAGATGTTTACGTTATAGTTTAAAACACATTTTCAGCTCCCAAACCACCAAATGCAGAGGAGAGTGCTGGTAGAAAGTCCCAGTGCCTGGAGAGCAGATGTGCCTGGGAGCCCAGGGAGACGAAGGAAACAACTTCTGAAGTACAGCTGTGGAAGAGGCAGGACTCTAGGCAGGCAACAGGGGGCTCAGGATCAAGTCCCTTGGTGATTCTTACCACATCATACCTTCAACCTAGCTCAGTGAATATATTTTCTTGATTTAAATTCCAAATAAATTCTGTTACAGAATCGCATCGCAGTGATGAAGTACAACAGAAAAGAAGCTTAATACAGCTTGGCTGACTGTAGGATCAGCCAAGATGGTATGAGCTTGGCTCCCTTTCCAAAAAAGGCAGCATCCAGGTCTCCCTTACTCTTGTGCCTCTCCCGGCTCTCGCCTTGCTGGCTATTTCCTGTTCTATTCTACTACCATGGCCAAAGCTCAGGCCAAGGACTTCTCAGGTCTGCTACAGGAAGCTCTGGGACATAGAATCTTTGGTGGCTCTGTGGGTGACTGAGGAGATGGGTACCTTCTCTTGTTCACACAGGTTGTAGAGGAAGCAAATGTCTCTGCCATGAAACCAGGTGGTGAAATGGCCCTACAGTGTTGACAAGATTTCACCTAGTGTGGAGAGGGCCAAAAGGCTTTATACAGGCAAGACATGCTTGAGCCACGCACAAAGCTGCCCCCAGTTTCCTAGAACTTGGTCATACTTTGCCCTGTCTTCCACCCGAGTCAGAACAGCTAGTAGAAAGGACACCACAAGGAGTGAGGTGAGCACTCCCCAGTCCCTCTGGCATCCTTAGCAGACTTATTCAATGCTGGACAGCGCCTTCTGTCATAGGTGGTGCTATTGCTGGTGATCTCCTCCTCTCTCCTTGGCACAGATGGCTGAGCCACTGCTATCAGAGCTCAAAGAGGGGGTCATATTTCCTAATCTCCTGAAGCAGTCTTTCTTTATCCTGGTTGGCATTGGCCAATGCTCGTTTAGTTTCTATAAGTTCCTTCTGTAGGGTAGGCAATTCTTTCACCTGAGGAACAATAAATAATTTACAGTTAATAAATAAGGTAACAACGCCTTGCAGAAACATCCAGTAAAGGAACAAGGAGGCAGAATTGAAGCAGAAAAATCCATAAATTTGTTTAGTGATCAACTAGATCTTTCTAAAAGCCTAATCCCATCTTCAGAATTCATCAGTTATAAGGACAGCAACAGGTAGAAATACACGATCAGCAAGCATTCACCTACAGTTCCTGACTTACATCCTCTATTCAGCACTTCTGGAAGTTGCTGCTAGATGATAGGAGCCCAAACTACCCAGCTATACACAGCACAGGCAACTTTTTCAGCTCTCTGAGTTTTACCAGCTTCTGAATTTACAGCCACTAAGGGTCTACAGGAAAGGTATTGTGCAGTTAGGTCCTCACCTTCTCTCCAAAAGACTCTCCTGTGGGCACCAGAAACATCTGTTCTTTGGGGGGCTGCCTCTTCTCACTCTTAGGTACTTCAGCTGATGGTGTATCCTGAGCAGCAGCTGGAAAAAAGTAAAGGGTTCTAAATAGCAAACTTCTGCCAACATGCAAGCAATTCCTAGGTATCACCCACTCCCTCACAGGACAGAAAAGGCAGAGAAGCCAGGAGGCCAACAAGCCCAACTCACCGCCTATGTGGAACACACCATCATCACTCCGTTTCAGCACAACATGCTCCATGGCCAGAGTAATAGGGATAGGGCCTGGAGATGTTGGATAGATGGGGGGTATATCATCCTGCAGGAAAAAGGGAAACCACATGATGCCCTCAAACAGCTCAGAGCAGTTTGGGTAACAACCCATGCTTCTACCATCTGGCTTGAAGCAGCTTTATGCCATTGTGTATCCACACATTCTTGCAACGTGGAGAAACATAACTGAGTTTCTCCCATTCTAGAGATGGTCAAACCGAGGACAGATAACTTAATGGGCTTATACATAGTCATGCTGCATGCCAACGACAAGGTCTGGGCTAGAGACAAGGTCTCCTCACCTAAATCCAGAATGTTTTGATAGAAACACACATTTTATGTATTACTATAACCTTCACAAAGAATGCCAAGCTGCATTTACTCACTTGATCCTCACCACACTGTACAGCGGCCCGGGAAGAGATGATAGCAGTCACTGCCAGAATTCCTTGCCTGACAAAGTCTAGAGTAAAAACCAAAAAAGCTCCTCTCACCTTTAGGGTGATGCTGCAGTGCAGGAGTTCAATCTGCATGGGAACTACCACTGGGATCTCTTCATCCTCCAAGAAGGGCCCCAGGCCATTGAGCACCGAAGTGAACAGCTCAAGATCACAGCCTCGAAGCAAGAAATGCAGGAAGCCATTTCGTGTGGCCAGTGGGGAGCGAACGGCTGCACCAGGCCCCACCTCAAAGCGAAGGCCCACTGCTGGCCTGATGTGGTCAGTCTTCAAAGTTGAGGATTCCTGAAAGCTTGTACCTTTCAGAAGAGAGACAGAAGGAAAACATCAATTAATTATCAGTCAGGGACTTTTCTAAGCATTTTACATACATTTAATATTCTTAAGAACCCTATGCCAAAAGTATTATCACCATTCCCATTCTAGAGATGAAGGAACTAAGGGACAGAAAATAATTTGCCCAAAGTTATACAACTTGTAAGTAGCAAGCACAGGACTTGAATGCAGGCAACAATGACCACAAAGACTGGGCTTGGCCACTTTGCTATCATGCCCCTCATGGTGGAAGGGAGGTCAAGGGCCAATGAAAAACTGCCCTTGCTATAAATCTGAGACACTGGGCTAAAGGCCAAGAAAAAACACAGGACCCTCAACTCTGCTACACTTAAACATCTCTTCCTTTCTCCAAATCTTGGTGTTCTCATTTCTCTCTGATAAAGCCAAGCAGGATCTATGCTAATCTTCTCAAAAGTCCATAAAGACCTATCACAGGTGCAGCCAAGGATATGAAACAACTTCTATACTTACATAGCTGCAAATTGTTACAAGCATTTTGGAAAACAAATCGGCATTATCTAGCAAAGTTAAGGTTATACCTATCCTAATGCCCTAGAAATTATATCCTCAGGAATGTAACTCTGAGAAACTCTCTAACACACATACCAGGAGACACACGTACGAGAATGTTCAAGGCAATCCTGTATGAAATAGCAAAAAAACCCAGAAACAACCCAAATGTCTGTAAAGAAGTAGAGTAATGGGTACAAGGGATATTTTGGGGGCGATGGTAATGGTTGCACAACTCTGTTAAACTGCTAAAATTTATCAAATTGTATACTTATCATGAGTTAATTTCATAAATGCAAAGTATACCTCAATAAAGCTATTTTTTGTTTTTTAATTTTTTTTTTTCAACGTTTATTTATTTTTGGGACAGAGAGAGACAGAGCATGAACGGGGGAGGGGCAGAGAGAGAGGGAGACACAGAATCGGAAACAGGCTCCAGGCTCTGAGCCATCAGCCCAGAGCCTGCCGCGGGGCTCGAACTCACGGACCGCGAGATCGTGACCTGGCTGAAGTCGGACGCTTAACCGACTGCGCCACCCAGGCGCCCCAATAAAGCTGTTTTTAAAAAGCAAAAATTGGTATATTTATACAACAGAGTATTATATATTAATGAAAATGAATATATCATAGCTAACTCAACAACCCAGAAGAATCTGAAGAATATCAAAGAAAGAAGCCAATCATGAAAGAATACAAAATAATCCCACTTAGAAAACCTCAAAAACCTGCAAAGCTAAATAATACGTTGATAAAAACATGTAGAATTGCAAAGTAAAGCAAGAGAATGATAAACACAAAATTCAGGATAGTGGTTCTCTATGACAGGTGAGAGGCAGAAGAAGATCCAGAAGAGAGGCTCCTGGAGACTTCAAAGTTAATGATACTATTGTATTTATTAAACTAGGTGGGCGAGGGGTGTCTGGGTGGTTCAGTCAGTTAAGCGTCCAACTCTTGGTCAGCTCAGGTCATGATCTCATGGTTCCTGGGTCAAGCCCTATGTCCAGTTTTGCACTGACAGTGTGGAGCCTGCTTGGAATTCTCTCTCTCCCTCTCTCACTGCCCTTCCCCACCCCTCTCTCTCTCTTTAAAAATAAGTAAATACGGGAATGAAAGCTGGTGCAGCCACTCTGGAAAACAGCATGGAGGGTCCTCAAAAAACTAAAAATAGAACTACCCTACGACCCAGCAATTGCACCACTAGGCATTTATCCACGGGATACAGGTGTGCTGTTTGGAAGGGACACATGCACCCCCATGTTTATAGCAGCACTATCAACAATAGGCAAAGTATGGAAAGAGCCCAAATGTCCATCAATGGATGAATGGATAAAGAAGATGTGGTATATATATACAATGGAGTATTACTTGGCAGTCAAAAAGAATGAAATCTTGCCATTTGCAACTACATGGATGGAACTGGAGGGTATTGTGCTAAGTGAAATTAGTCAGTCAGAGAAAGACAAAAATCATATGACCTCACTCATATGAGGACTTTAAGAGACAAAACAGATGAACATAAGGGAAGGGAAACAAAAATAATACAAAAACAGGGAGGGGTACAAAACAGAAGAGACTCATATATATGGAGAACAAACTGAGGGTTACAGGAGGGGTTGTGGGA